GTTGTGGAGCACAGGCTCTAGGCACGTGGGCTTCAGTAGTTGCGGCACGCAGTCTCAGTAGTTGTGGCTCATGGGCTCTAGAGCACAGGCTCAGCAGTTGTGGCACACAGGCTTAGTTGTTCCGCAGTACGTGGGAACTTCCCAGACCAGGGCTCACACCCGTGTCCCCTGCGTTGGCAGGCGGATTCTTCACCAGTGCACCACCAGGGAAGTCCCAAAGTTCACTAATTCTTTCTTCTGCTTGGTCCAGTCTAATACTGAATCTCTCCACTGAATTCTTCAGTTCAGTCATTGTATTCTTCAGCTCCAAAATTCGTTTGGTTCTCTTTTATGTTTTCTATCTTTTTGTTGAACTTCTCATTTTGGTCTTGTATTATTTACCTGATTTTGTTGAACTGTTTACTGGTGTTCTCTTGTAGCTCTCTGAGCATCTTTAAAATAACTACTTTGAATTCTCTGTCAGGCAATTTGTATATCTCCATTTCTTTAGGGTCAGTTACTGAAAATTTACTGTGTTCTTTGGTGGTGTCATGTTTCCCTGATTTTTTGTGATCCCTGTAGCCTTTCATAGTTGTCTGCACATTTGAAGAGCTGTTATCTCTTCAAGACTTTATGGACTGGCTTTGGTAAGGAAAGATCTTCACCTATGGATGTGAGGATGCTAGAGTATGCTATGACTCTGGGTCTAATGGTGCAGGGTGCCCAGGTTAGGGCATATTGTAGCTCTGGGCTCAGGGTGCAGGTCTCATTGGCTGAGGCCACACAGGTCCACATATCAACAATTCTGTGATTCTTAGGGAAAGCTGTGGAGGGTCCACAGTGGCTGCAAGGGATGTTGGGGTCCTCAGTGGATCTTCCAGGTCCAGTGGCTAGGGACCAGGGCAGGCAGCAGTGGTGGGCAGAGTCAGAAGTGTGTACACACATGGCTTCAGGGTCCGGCTTCAGGGTCCAGCTTCAGGTACCTGCAGAGTGGGAGGGGGAAGCTGCAGACACACACATAATAGCAAGGGCTGGGACTAGCAGAAAGGGCTGGTGCCAACTGCAGATTGACAAGCAACTGCAGGGACCCTAGCTGTTGGCACATATTCATGAGGTTGTAGAGGCTAGCCATGAGCACATGCGTGGCAGTGGAGGCAGGGATGGGAGTTGGGCTGGCCAGTGTGCAGGTGCACAGCTGCAGGGGCTACCTTTAGGTGAGCCTAGGGTTGCAGGCCAGTGACAAGTCAAGGCTGGATATGGGCCACAAGCAGCTGTGGCGGCCTTGGCTGTTGGCATACACTCCTATGGCTACAGGGGCTTGCCGTGGTTGTATGCATGGCAGTGGAGGCCTGTGTTGGGAGTCAGGCTGGTGGCGTGCAGGTACATAGCTGCAGAGGCTAGACATGAGCACACACAAAGCAGTGGGGTTCAGCTGTAGGGGTCTAGACTGGTGTCTTACATGCACACAACCACAGAGGCCAGGGCTGCTACATAACTCGTGCTCTGTCAAGAGATGCGGAGGGAGGTGGGGGACTCAGGTGGCTGGCATCTGTGAATGCAGATACCTGTGGGGTGAAAACCTTAATGGCAAAATCTGCAGGGGTTCTGTGGTGGCTACTGGTTTCTTCAGTGGTGAAATATGCTAGGGTCCTCTGTGGAGCAGTCTGCTGAGGTCCATTATGAGGTCCCCAGTAATAAAAGCTGAGAGGTTCTGCAGTGTCCACAAGGGCTGTTGAGGTCCACAGCAGCAAAGGCTGCTGGGATCCTAAGCAGAGCAGGCCACTGTGAGCCATGGTAGCTCCCAATGCATGACTGATACTGGCAGCCTCTGTTTGCCCTACTTCCTTGTTCCTAGCCATGTCTAGATGTCTCAGTATTTATACCAAGTTTATTCCAGTTATCTCATTTGTAATTTTCTAGAGCTCCTTGGGTTGCTTCTTAGATTGCTCTGCTCTGCTTCCTGGCTGTCTCACTTCCCTTTGCAGACAGCAATCACCATTTTCTTCCACTGAGTTGTCAGTTTTTTCCAAGTTTCTTTCATAAGTATTTCTTTTGGTCTTTAACTTTCATGTGGGAGGTTTCTTCCAATGGCTGTTGTTGCTTGACTGTCTGGAATTGCTGTGTATGACCTGCTGACCACGGGTTTCACTGTATGGAGGTTTGTGGAAAGCAGCGGTCATCTTATCCAACAGCTTTTAATACCATATATACTCTGATGACTCCAAAATTGTTATATCTTAACTTCACTTCTGAACTCCAGACTTTCAACATCTCAGTCTGGAGGTCTAGAAGACATTTAAACCTTGAAAGGAAAAACCAGAAATATTGATCCCCACTGCTCTACTCTCTTCTCCCACAATGTTTCCTATTCCATTTCCACCCAGGTCAAAGTTGGGCATGTCAAAACATAGGAGTCATTCTTCTCTGACCTTTCTCTTTTTTGTACACACGCACACCTATTCAATCTATCAACAACTCTGACTGGATCTATCCTTCAACACATATTCAGAATCCAACAACTTACCACTTCCACTGTTCCAACCCTATCTAGCTCAAGATACTGAAATCAAAATCTTTTGTTTGAATGACTGCTCCCTGTTTCCATTCTTGCTCTACTCCAGTCCTTCTGCACACATCAGCTGGAGGAATCCTTTTAAAATGTAAGCCAAATCATGTAATTCCCCTGCTCAAATACCTTCACAGGCCTTCTGTCACACTTAGAATAAAATGCAAAATCCTTACCAAAAATATCATCCTCCAAGCCACCATTCTGAGGGGAGTTCTTAGCTTCAAACTGTCATTCTTCCTTCACTTTCCACATCTAATTGATCATCAAAATTCATCATTTTTACTTATTAACATCTACATTCTCTATTGCATTTTTTCTCCATTCCTATTGTTTCCTAGCCATTATTTCTTGCCTGAATCACTTCCGTGGTCTCTTTCCTCCCTGATTCCAGTCTTCTGCATTTTATACTCTCTCAGCATTTAAAACCCACATCCAATCATGTCACTCCATGGTTCTATCAGACTAGCAGTTCTACTAATTTGGGGATTACAAAGCTCTTTGTGATCTGGCTCTTGCCTTCTTCTTGGCCTTATCTTCCAATTGCTAACACATACTTACATGCCAAAGTTACCAAATATCTTGTAGTTTCCTGGAATTACTACTTCCCTATGCTCTGTGCTATTTTTGGAATGTCCTTCCTTATGGCTTGTCTTCCTGATGAAGCCCTGCACATCTCTCAAGACTCACCTTAAGCATTACTTGCCTCTGGAGGCTTTCATTGATTGCTCAAAGCCCCAGGAAATCAGCTACTCCCTCTAACAGCATCAGTGTATATCTTAATTATGACATGCAGCTCATAAACCTTCTTGTTTGTGGTCTATCTGATCCCACTAGAGTAGTTTCTAAACATGGGGACCATGCATGGGGTTCAGAGGCAACTATCAATTCCCTAAAATTGAGTATAAAATTTTGTATGCAAAATCATACTTGTATCGTCCTGGGGAGAAATTTTATCGATCCTCCATAATACAGAAAGAGTTAGGAACCAATACCCTAGATGGTGATATTCTTTTTTTTTTTTTTAATTTTTTTTTTTTTGGCTGCGTTGGGTCTTTGTTGCTGTGTGCAGGCTTTCTCTGGTTGCAGCGAGTGGGGGCTACTCTTCATTGCGGTGTGCGGGCTTCTCATTGCAGTGGCTTCTCTTGTTGCGGAGCACAGGCTCTAGGCACGTGGGCTTCAGTAGTTGTGGCACGCGGGCTCAGTAGTTGTGGCTCATGGGCTCTAGAGCACAGGCTCAGTAGTTGTGGCACACAGGCTTAGTTGCTCCGCAGCATGTGGGATCTTCCCAGACCAGGGCTCGAACCCTTGTCCCCTGCATTGGCAGGCAGATTCGTAACCACTGAGCCATAGACGGTGATATTCTTAAGGGAAGGAGTAAGTCTCCATCTTTAATTTCTATATCTCACACATATCACTTCACACAGAGCATAGTTAAGGCAACTGGACACAAATGCTTTTGTACTTGTAAATATACATAACCAAATATACAGAAGCAATTGATATGTTATTTGTGTATGCTTTAGGCAAATTTCCTATGGTTCTTGACCAGGCAACATACTTTGCAGACTCTGTGTTTCCTAAAAATATTACATTTTCTTAAAGAGAAATTTGTAATTCTTTCTAAAACTTGTAATTCTCACCAATATACACTCCTTGAATATATACTCCTCAAAGTGAGGTTTTACCCAGTCCTTTAGTCTAAGCTTAATAGTCACCGAAGGTTTCTGATGTTTATTTGTTTTACTTTAAAATTCTGTACCTTTTAGTTAATTCTTCTTATTCAGCCTGCAAAATGTAATCTTGGTTATCAGTCAACTCAATACACTTTTATAATAACCAACAGACAGTTAAGGATTTATCTTAGAAATACTGGTACACTGATAAACAACAAGGCCCTACTGTACAACACAGGGAACTATATTCAATATCTTGTAATAAACTCTCACGGAACAGAATCTGAAAAAGAATACACACACACACACACACACAACTGAATCACTTTGCTATACACCAGAAACTAACACAACATTGTAAATCAACTATAGTTCAATAAAAAAAGTTTTAAGAAAGAAATGCTGGTACATTATTTCCAGGGTTAATCATTACATTATTAATAACTGGCTCTTTTCAGCTTCAACTACCTGCTTTTCTTAAGAGGTGGAGAGAGACAAAATTTTAGTAACTGCTGCAGGCTGAAGGAGCTCTGTTCACCAGCAAAACCAACTGAGAAATGACAGCTAGACATTACAGTAGGCCCAAATGCCCTACATAGTAATTCCATTTAGAGAGCAAGTGTGATAGGTACTGTCCAGATAAGGAAGAGCCCTTAAATACATTGAAACAAAGACAAAGGAATGATTTTAGCAATATTGTTTCATAATGTAATTAGGGATAGTAAAAGAGAAAAACTTAAGTGTGCAGGAGCAAGCTACACTGTGTAATAATTTCTTACCATTTTATAGAGATCTGAGACACTAATCTGGTCCGCATCCACTACTTCAAAGTCCTTTCGAGGCACCAGGTCCAGGCCCAAATGCCTAGTAAAGAGAAAGACCACATTCAGCATGCCATGTCCTCAAATTACTCATCTCTCTTTATGTGCCTGAGAGCCCATGCCAACCACGACCTTATGGACAGAAGTTCAGACACTGCCTCTGCAGGGACATGCCTTTATCCAGTAACCTAACTGTGTTCACCTTCAGGTAAATAAATGAGGCTAGGGATTTTAAGACTGTGACAATTTTCGTCATCAAGTAGTTCCCCCTGTGATGGTAAAAAGGATTCATTCAGTATCACATTTATAACAGATTGCTTGAGTTCACTAAGGACGGATTTTCTTAGATCATTAATAAGTTGTGTTTATTTTTCAATTTCCCCCATCCTGCAAGTATGTACAGGCTCAGCCATGCATTACTTTCATTAGGATAAAAAAAATTATTCAGTGTCCAAGTAGATTTGTAATTCAAAGTCAAACACATAAAAATCACCTCCTGGGAATTCCAGGAGGTCCACTGGTTAGGATTCTGCACTTTTACTGCCACGGGCATGGGTTCAATCCCTGGCTGGGAAACTAAGATACTGCAAGGCACAGCCAAAAAAAAAAAATCACCTCCTAAAGGTATTAAACTCAAAGAAACTTATGTCTTGGTTGAGTTTTATCTCATTTTCAATTTAATTAATACTGACACTGGCTTATAGTAAAGACCTCACCACACATTAGCCAATACCTTAAGACACTTTAGATGGAAGTTTAACCAGGGAGCACGATTAATAAAGAAAACAATACTTAGAAGATCTGGTATAACTTGGGCATGAAGGAATAAGTGATAATGATTAATAGTTGATTGGGAGGCAGTATGAGACAGTGGAAATAACTCTGGACAGGCAGAACTCTTGGGTTCAAATATGGTACATAATTTATATTCAATACATGTTACGCCCTTTCTCACTCTCTAGAACAACAGCTCTGACTCTGGAGTCAGTGGAATTAGGAGTTGTGGACCCCTGTAACTACATATAAAAGTATGTGTATGTGTTCATATATGCATTTTCTCTGAGGAGAGGGCCTATAACTCTCATCAGGGTTTCAGAGCTGCTCTGTGACCACCCTACTCTAAAGCGAGTGTTATGAATTATTGCACCTGGCAAAAAGTATGCCATAGATGATGGAAGGAGAAGTGTATATATTTTTTTCTTCACCTAGATTATGAACTACATTTAGAATATGCTAGCAAAACTAATTCTCTAGGCTCTTTCTGTGAATAAAATTCCCACTTATTTAAAATAAGCCACGTAGGGCTTCCCTGGTGGCGCAGTGGTTGAGAGTCCGCCTGCTGATGCAGGGGACACGGGTTCGTGCCCCGGTCTGGGCAAATCCCACATGCTGCGGAGTGGCTGGGCCCGTGAGCCATGGCTGCTGAGCCTGCGCGTCCGGAGCCTGTGCTCCGCAACAGGAGAGGCCACAACAGTGAGAGGGCTGCGTACCGCAAAAATTAAAAAAAATAAGCCACATATACATCCAAAACGCAGAATTATTTTACTTACAATTTAACCCTATTTTATAGGAAAAGATATGAAGAGGTTAAATGGTAATAAGACTGATAAAATAAAAATGGGGAATCAAACCTACATGAAGAAGCTATAAGCAAACACGCTAATCACACAGACTAATATGATTAAGAATTAAAATTTAGATGTGTACTTTTTAGCAGGAAAAAAAAATGGAGAAACCTATTTTTCTATTAAAGGATAAAAACCCATATTTTTCTATTACCTATTACTATAACTTGTATTATTCTATAATAGAGAAATATGCATTTTTAAAGAGGAAATAATTTTTTGGTATTAAATACAGAAAAAAAAAAACCCTTGTAGTTTTGCCTGATGAGAAGATCAGTAATACACTGTTGTCCTTAATTACAATAGTTCACAGTTTAATGGTAAAACCATGACATCAAATCTGATTACTGATGTTAATGCACTTAAATCTATAAGAGATTTTATTTCCTGTCTTCATACATCAAAGAAGTACTCCATTCAATCACCTCTTATTAATTATTCTTAATTTCCCTGAAATAATTTCAGGCCTCTGGCTTCTAATACTTATAGCATGTAAAGGCAGTAGTATCATGGAGAGCAAGATATAGCTGAAGCACATCCTTTCCACCGCTCTCATCTTAAAAAGCAATTTACATCTGAAAGATAATTTTGCAGTTTTGATCTCAAATATTTAGAATACTTTTACATATATGTGGAAAAACAGTGGAAAGATCACAAAAATGGTATTAGTATTTGTACAAGGAAAGTGAAATTAAACAATTTATCAATTTAAGATATTTTACAAATTTTCTGTAGTCATGCTGTTGAAAATTCTTTAAATACAAAAATGAAGAGATAAAATTTCAAACATATTCTTTAACCACTGATGGTCACAAAATATATGAGGTAGTCTAAATATTACAATTAATTAACAAAAAGAAGACTGTACAAATAATCCAATCAAAATAGATGTTTTCAGTACAACAGCTTAAGAAAAAATCCAGATGGATCTAAGTCAGTAAGGCCAGGGTTGAGAGTATATGCTCTGTAGTAGTGCACTACACGCAATGATGTGGCTTGTCTGGTGAATGGCATCTACGCAAACTCTACCTTGGCACTATGCCACCCTTAGCTTGCTTGTCCATTCAATTAACCACCCATATACCCATCCACTCACCCCAAAGACACTCTCTGAGGATCTATCATGTACCACCAATGGTACTGGATATAGGAAATACAGCAGTTTTGAGTCAAGCAAATGTTCATATTCCTCATGCTAATTCTCCCAAGAGCAAAGTGTTTTCCCTCTCCTAGAAGTTGTTAAAACACAGTACCTTTTAGTTTCTTGATTTCATTACCTTAGGAAATAAGAAAATGATTAACAGGTGATCTAATAAAACCGAAGACTGATTTCCTTCTACTAAGATCATCTTCAATGGATGAAGAGTAGTTTCCAAAAGCTAAATTGAAGGACTGTCCTCATTGGAAGAAGGCAGAGGTGCTGCACAGTGAGAAACAACACATGTTCACTAAAATTTCACTCTGTAAAAGAGGCTCCTGGCTATTTCTTCCTATGGCATATTCTAAGAACAGTGAACAGTAAGTGCAGGGAATGGTCAACTTAGTCTCTTTATCGTCACAGCAAAGGAAGGCAGCGCATCAGAGTAGTTAGGAGCATGGGCTCTGATGTCAGATTGCCTAGTTTGTATCTTGGCTCTCCCACCAAGAATACTGTCTTCTCTACTGTCACAGGCTATTGTAAGGATTAATCCATGTAAAGCACTCAGTACACTGCCAGGCATTGTGAACTGCTTCTGCTGTTATCATTATGTGTTACATCGTTAGCTAAAATATGACTTAAAGTACAAGGATTGTGATTAAAGACAATTGTGTCTGAAAAAAGACTCCTAAACAAGCAGGAGGCATACAACTACATATACATCTACATACAGAGGTAGTATAGAGCTGAGTTTTTAAAATGGTCTTACCAACTGCTTAGGTGAATCGTCTTCACAAAAATAGTCTTCTCTCACCACTTGTCACTAATCACTCATTCATTCATTCCAATAATTCAATAAATATTAGCACCTACTCTATGCTAGGCTCATGATGAACTTAGGGATACAGCAGTGAATAAAAGACATATTTCTGTTCCTGCATTCTTTTAGGTGCCCCACTCTAAAGACCGTGAATCTCTCTCTCTATCAAATTCTTTGAATTTTACATGTCTTTTGAATGTTCCATATTCTGTTCTATTTTCTATTGTATCTTTTTCTTCTGGGTTTCCTCATCTGAACCACAGAACGTAGAAAATAACTTGAAGTTAATTAATTATATATGATGGATGTTTTAAGGCATTTAAGATCTAGTTCTCCCCCAGAATTAGTTGAAAAAGCCTAGAGATACTAAGATTTTCTGTGGGCAGTGCCCTTTTCTGATACTTATACTATGAGAGCATATAGATATAACTATACTAATGAGAGCATGGTATATTTATATAGTAATAAAATAGAATATATAACTAATAATAGCTACCTTTTACTGAACATTTACTTGGAATAGGCATTTTATGTATATCCCCTCTAAGCACTATGGGAAGTACACAGTATTAGACCCATTTTATAACTGAGGAAACTGAAGCCCAGAGAGGTTACTAAGTAGCCTATTAAGGGAGTACAGTTGAGCTTGTCTCAAGCTAGGTCTGTCTTACTCTGAACCCATGATATTTCCACTATACCTGCCACCTTTCTACTAATAACCATGAAGTTAAATACTAATGGCTATAAGTGATTGTAATCAATTTGGTCATAATACTTTGAGGAATAATTTTGTGTCAATACATCAATCCAGAAGGAAACAAACATAGACTGATGAATGAGTAGCCAACAGGCATAAGAAAAACCCACCTTGTTACTTAGATACATTCATGTAGTGCCTATCAAGTGCAGGCACTGTGCTAAGTGCAGGGTATGCTGATGAGCAAAACAGATGCACAAAGAATGAGTGTGTGTGTGTAAGTTAATCATTTGAACATGGTAACTTGAGAGGAGAATTTTGACACATGCATAGTTTAAACATAGTTATCTCAGACTTCTTAAGTATGGCAAGAAACTGATGGATGGGTACAACACCTTATACCAGAAGAACTCTAAGAAGGCATTGGAAGCTTCTACTAATTTCAGATGTCCTGAAGCTGGAAAATATCACTATGTCCTTAAAGAGAAAGTACTGAACCATAAACTTTTCTGAGTCCTAGCTAAAAATTTACTCACAGGAAACTCGCTGGGGTTGGGGGCAGGGGTGGTGGTGGTGGCAGTATTCTCTGCATGGTATAACTCAAACTACTGCTTGTGTTGCTTCCTCCAAGAGCAATTCCCTTGGTAAGGAACATAAACTAAGCAGGAAGAAAGGGACATGGGTAGGTTAGGATCTTTGAAAACCTGCGAGAAGGTACAAAAGAGAAGCGAGGGAAGGGAATAATTTGATAGAGAGGGAGAGA